CCCTACACAGCATCTGAATGGACCTCAAACACTACTTTGATAGAACATCAGCAGCCCTATGTTCATGGCGGCATTGTTTATAGTCTACAAGATAGGAAGCAGCCTCAGTGTCCATCAGTAGGTGAGTGGATAATACACCTATGGGACATTTACACAATTGAATACTGCTCTGCCATAAAAATGAAGGAAACTTTACCCTTTACAACAGAATGGATGGACCTAGAAAATTTGATACTGTGTGAAATAAGCCAGTCAGAGAAATACAAAACCATATAATTTTACTCATATGTGGAATCCAAGGAACAAACTGAACTAATAAAGAAAATAGAGACAGACTCTTAGATACATACCAGGGTGACAGCTAAGGGGGGAGGGTCAGAGGGTGGAGGGACTGAGACACAAAGGAAAAAGGACTCATGGACATGGACAACAATAGGGTGATTGTGGGGGAAGGTGATTAAGGGAGGATGAATGGTAATGGAAAAAACATAATTAAAGAAAGAAAAAGCCTGGGGAGGAAGCACCTGATGAGAGAATATAAATAAAGGTCTGTGCTCAGAGGATCTGCCAGGCCAGAGAGGACCCATCAGCAGAATAATAGTCAGTTCCGGCCCCTCCCCTAGCCCCAGGCTCCATTGAGTAAAGGGTCCTCACTAAGCAGCTGTGTAGGGAACACAGAATGGTCCCACAGCGCCGCCTGCTGGTTTCAGCGCACACCCCTCACCATGGCCTGAAGCCCTAAGAGCCCTGCTGGTCTCTGCAGCTCAGCAGGTTACCCATCATTCCTTGGGCTTCATTCCTAAATCTAGAACGACTGTATGATGCTGCATTCCATTTCTGCACGTTTATCTGAAGAAAACTAACACATCTGTAAAAGACATGGTCAACCCCAGGTCCAGGACAGCATTTTTATACAATAGCCAACATGTGGAAATCACCTAAGTATCTCTTGACGGGTGAATGACTAAAGATCACCTCATACATAATGTATAATGTTAAATGGATGGACAAATGACCCTTTGAGAGAAATGGAATCTTGTCATTTGACACGACATGAATAAAACTTGGGGACATTATGCCTCGTAAATAAGCCAAACAGCAACACAGATACCATGATCTCACGTACATCTGTAATCTGATCAACGAAAACAACCCTAATAAACAAAAGGTACAGAGAACAAATTGGTACTTCCCAGAAGGAAGCCCAGCTAGTGTGTGACAGAAATGAGACAAGTTCAAAGTTCAAATTTGCAGTTATATCAAATCAGGCCCTGGTCAGGTAGCTCAGTTGGTTAGAATATGTCTTGATAAGGCAAGGTTGTGGGTTTGACCTTTGGTCAGGGCACATACAAGAAGCAACCAATGAATGTGTAAACAAGTGGAACAACAGCATCCACATCTGTGCATGTGTCTCCTTCTTTTTCTCTCTGTCTCTCTACCACCCATTCCTCTCTTTATATATATATGCATTTCTCCAAAGAAGCCATCACTATTTTTATTTGAATGTTATAAAAGACAATATTTGAGAAAAGGCAGGCTCATCACATTGGGCACCATCATATGCAATTCCATTCAACAGAAAAGACAATAAAATATTCATGAGTAAACCAGTGCAGGAACATGCACATTTGTAAATATTTCCATACACAATTGTACATGCCCATGAAACTACACCTGACTTCACACTTATATCTGAAACTCTGACCTGTCACTGCCTGGAGCATCACGCCTCCTCCCTGTGGTGATAAGTGTCGATTTCCATTACTGGAGTGAGGAGTCTGGCCCCCACCCGTGCCCACCCACTCACGTGATTATGTAACGACTGTGCACAGCACAGCCACACCTGCACTGTTACCTGGACACCCTGGGAATCCACTTTGTCACCTGGAGCACAGTTTCATGTGCAGTTTCCTTTGCTGTTAGTGTCACAGGCGCCCTCACTGTCACAGGTACTTCGGTCACTAACTTCCTTCCCCTTCTCCCCAGGGCAGTGGCTCCTGCCTTCACAGTGCAAACTGATGGGCTCCTGTCACTTCCGCATCCCACCACGGGACCCTCAACCTCCTAAACTGCATGTCATGTGCACACGTTAAGGTCTGTCATTGTGCTTCTCAGTTTTCAATGCATTGGACAGGGTCGTAGTGCCATTTAGGTGCCATTACATTATTATATAGAATAATTTTGTTGCTCCTCCTGTTTTTTCACATAGTCAAATTTACAACAGATGTTCAGACTCTCCCCAGAGTTTTGTCTCTTCCAAAATGTGACATCATTACCATCATATGCTGAATCACATCTTTTAAAAAGAAAGCCACTTGTTGGAGGAGCTCACTGTTGCTCCCAGCTTGGGGTGGCTCCAGAGAGAGCAGAACACACACCCACCCATGGCCATTTGGTTGCTGTCAAGTTGGGGAGACTGTTAACAAAGCAGCTAGAAACATTCACATGCAGAACTTTCTGTGGACAGAAGACTTGAATTCATTTTTATCATTCATTTTATATATTTTATTTTTTATGGAGTTATAAATGACATACAATGCTATCTTAGTTTTAAGGATACAACATTATTGTTCCATATGGATATATTGTAAAATATAAACCATGAGAGTGAGTCTAGTTGACATCTGTCACTACATACATACAATTTGTAACACTTATTGTTCTGAGAATGTTTGGGATCCGCTTGTTCAGCTGCGTTCACACTCACACGATCACAGCATCTCCGCCCTAATCCCCGAGCTGTCCGTGACGTCCCCAAGAGCATTTAATTCAAAACTGGAACTTTGTGCCCTTGGACTCCCTTTACCCACGTGGACCAACCCCTTCCTCCCCCATGTCTGGACACCACCAAATTGTTCTAAATTTATATTTTTTAAAGACTGTATTTTGTGCAGAAGCAACCTGGGTCCCCGGATAAAGTATCTGCCTGGAGAGTAAACAGATGGGAATGTGAAATCAGAAAGCATTCAGTTCTCCTCAAAACCAGAGATGCTGGGAAAGTCTTCAGATCCTCAGAGGGTGGTCAGAGATGGGACAACGGAGTCACCTCTGATGTGAAGTTAGAGGAAGGGATGTGACCACAGATGGTGGGACCACAGATGAGGGGGAGAGTCGCATCTTCAGTCCTCACGGCTGGAACACACTGATGAGAGCATTGTCTATCAGCTCCTATACATCAGTCTCTTCCTGGGACTGGATGTAAAACACGAGTGGGAAGCATTCCTAGCAAAACCTGAAGCCAGAGTTTCCATCACAAAATTCCCTGAGACAGATGTCCCAGGTCGCCCACCCCAGGGCTGCTGCTGTCCCTGAGCCACACTGTGGCTCCATGTCTGTGATGCTGCTTTGACAATAGGTGACCTTGTTCCTGAGACCCGGCCCCACATGGTGGGTGCATGAGCCAGCACAGCCTGCAGGCAGGAACCTGGAAGACATCAATAAAGACGGACTGACGTGTGGGGTCCCTGCTTCTTTGTCCCCAGCTTAACTCCCTTGAGACCCAACATTCCCAGAGGTCGTGGTGGTTTCAATGGGCTCAGAGTGTTGATGAGATTTCAGGAATGTTTATGTGTCAAAATCACCTTGTTCTATCCCTGCTGCTGCCTCTGCCAGGACAGTAGCTCTTGACTGTCTGTCCTGGGTCCCAGGCCCTGAAGGAGGCTGGATGAGCAGGGAGAGATGCAGGGACCTGTGTGCACAGGGCAGGGACCACCCTGCAGGGAGGGGGCAGAGCTGGGGCGGGAAGCCCGAGGGAGCGTGAGCATCAGGGAGCTTCACCTGCATCAGGTGTGATCAGTGAGGAGAAGGGGAATCCAGGACGTGGGGGAGACGACCTGAGCCCGGATCTGGGCCCTGGAACTAGCCTCACACCCACCGCCCCCTCTGCAGCACAGGTACTGGAAGACCTTGCAGTTACTATTTCTTTCCATTTGGAAAAAATACTGTTGTCTTGGGCACACTGAGAAATTTGAACCACAAACCAAGATATTTACTTCAGTTTAAATTTCTTGCTGTGTTTTCTCCTTTTCACTGTATCAGACTATCCTGTCTCAGATTCACCCTGAAGTATTTCACATGTACGCTGTTATGAATAAGTACTGACACAAAACAAGTGGGTTCTGGCACCTGCTCCAAGGAAAGCCAAATGGGTGGGACAGGAGCTGGTGCAAAAGACCGAGGTTTCTTCAGGTTCCATGGGGCCTGGAAGACGGGTGGACTCCAGACTCAAAGCCCATCTCCACTTCCTGCTCAAGCCCACAGTTCTTACAGGTGTAGGAAGGGGAGGGCTCTTCTATTCTGTCCTATTGTCTTGCTGGTATTCGGTAGGTTGGGTGATGTCCATTCATTTTACCAACTATTGGTGGCTCAGTGTCAGTGTCTCCCTTACCACCACCTTTGCCAAATAGACTCCCGAGCTCCCTGACTCTGTGGAATCTGGGTCAGTGGGGAGCAGGTATGGACTGCAGGACATGCTGTCAGGGACCCTGGACACCCGCAGTCTTCACCCCACACCCTGATGCTGGACAAGGTGCCCAGGCATCCTGGGGAGCCCCTTGGAGTCACGTGAGCATCCCTGGGTCCCAGCCTGCCCTCCTGTGCTCTGTGAAGCATCCACATGGCCCATGACTCACAGTGGCCACCTGGAACCACGCTTCGACTGGCAGCAGCCTACGGTAGCAGTGCTGCTGTTATTTTTATGTTCTCATAGCTCACTGCTGGTACATACTACAGGGTAAGGTTTATGTCGACGTGTGATTTGGCATCACCCAATTCAGACTTGAGCACTCAGAGTAGAATCCCATCTCACTCGCCCCTGCAGCCTGAGCTGGCCTTGGCGGGGATCAACCTGACTTGATCTCCTCAAATGTGTCCGATGGGAAACTGTTCTCTCTCAGCAAGGAATTTCTGTCTGTGAAACAGTTAACACAGTGACAACACATGCGCCAGACCCATTGTAAAGGCTGATTGGAAGGAAAAAATAGGTGTCATTGTCAGAACTACTGGTCTGAGGAAACTCAGGGAAGATCTGACGGCACAGTCAGTGCTGAGCTGGAATCAGTCAGAGCCACCTGCCTGGGCAGCTGCACCAGGACTGGGGAGCAGAGAGGAGGTTTCTGTCTCACTTCCTGCTGTATCTCAAACACTGTGCTATTCTTGGTGTTGCCATCCCATGTATCACAGTAATAGTCAGCCTCATCCTCGGGCTGTAGCCCAGTGATGTGCAGAACACCGGAGTTAGTCGAGGTGTCTTTGGATCCAGAGAAGCGGCTGGGGACCCCGGAGCCCTGGCGCTTGTCTGAGTCTGTGTGGTAGTACAGGAGGTACCGGGGAGGGCTCCCTGACTTCTGCTGGTACCAGAATACACCATACCTGCTAACACTGAAGCCACTGCTGAAGGTGCAGGTGAGTCTGGCTGTGGCTCCAAGAGATGCAGAGAGGGAGGGTGGCTGAGTCAGCACAGGCTGGGAGAGGGAATCTGTAGACACAGACACTTGTCAGTGATGAGGCTGGGACCAGGGAAAGCTTCTCAGGAGATGGAGCAGGAAGGGAATAAACTTGGGAACTGAGCCCTGGTCCCTGAGGCCTGTCCCTACCTGTGCAGTGAGAGAGGAGCACGAGGAGGAGAGGGGTCCAGGCCATGGTGCTCACAGCCCCTGAGCCCACAGTGGGGCTGGGCTGCCCAGGCCTCCTTTTCTTCCACACCCTCTGCCAGGGGAGGGGCTGCTCATGCAAATGTGTGTCCATCCAGGGACTGCCAGCCCCTCCCTGAGCCCTGATTCTGGATCTCAGCTCACACCCCAGACAAGGGAGGATGGCTTCACCACCTGGAGAGCCCTGGGGGAAAATACCCATGAGACCACACAGGGTCTCTGCTCAGGGGACTCTGCCAGGCCAGAGGGGAAACAGCTGCTGTGTCCTCTTCAGAGACCACAAAGCCTGGCCAACAGGACCAGTCTCCTGGGAGTGAACAGTTCTCACTGAGCAGCTCTATGAGGACCTCAAGGCTGTCCCACAGCATCACCTGCTGGTCATATTTGTAAAAAACATTTTTAAAATAATGAAGCTTAGGAGGACTCCGCCAAGATGGAGGCGTAGGTGGAAACATTGTGCCTTCTCACACAACCAAGTTTAAAAACAACAAAGTTTTAACAACAAAAACGCAGCCAAACCACAGAAAATTGAACTACAGGAAAGTCTGACAACAATGAACCCTTCAGCCAAACCGGTAAGAGGGGCAGAGCCAGCAGCAGAGCGGGGTTGGGCAGGAAAGATCCACCAGACTGATCGAGTTGCACAACCCAGATGCGCCAGCAGCTGTAGGCGGATCCCAGGTGTGGAGTAGTGGGCAGACCCACTGAGGGCAAGGTGGTGGACTCACTGAGGGCTGACCCAAGTCACACAGTTGAGCGCAGATAAACTGGTAAAGGAGCAAAGCGGTGAGACAGACCGTGCAGGCCCCAGTGGCAGAAAGTGGTAGAGGGGACCGCCATTGTCCCTCTCTGACCCCGCCCCCACATGTAGCGTCACAAACCAGCGACCTGGCTGGCCCCGCCCTGGTAAATACCTCCTCTGCGTAACAGGCACAAACAGATCAAAACATGGCTCAAGAACAACTCAGAGCACCAGAGCCCATAAATCTCAGTGATAAATAGCCAAACTTTCAGATGCACAGTTCAAAACACTGGTGATCAAGATGCTCACAGAACTGTTGATTATAGTCACAAATTAGAAAACATATGAAGTCTAAACTAATTGAAATAAATGGAAATGCACAGGAAGCCAATTGTAATGGAAAGGAAACTGGGACTCAAATCAAAGGAGTGGATCAGAAGGAGGATAAAAATGACCAAACAGAAAAGGATGAAGAAACAAGAATTCGAGAAAATGAGGAGAGGCTTAGGAACCTCCAGGACATCTTTAAACGTTACAACATCCAAATTATAGGGGTACCAGAAGGGGAAGAGGAACACCCACAAGTGGAAAACTTATTTGAACAAATAATAAAGGAGAATTTCCCCAATCTGGCAAAGGAAATAGACTGCCAGGAAATCCAGGAAGCTCAGAGAGTCCCAAAGAAGTTGGACCCAAGAAGGAACACACCAAGGCACATCATAATTACATTAGCCAAGATTAAAATGAAAGAGAGAATTCTAGAAGCAGCAAGAGCTAAGAGGAGAGTCACCTACAAAGGAGTTCCCATCAGACTGTCAGTGGATTTCTCAAAAGAGACCTTACAGGCAAGAAGGGGCTGGAAAGAAGTATTCCAAGTCATGAAATCCAAAGACCTACATCCAAGATTGCTCTATCCAGCAAAGCTTTCATTTACAATGGAAGGACAGATAAAGTACTTCTCAGATAAGATCAAATTCAAGCAGTTCATCATCACCAAGCACTTATTATGTGAAATGTTAAAGGGACTTACCTAAGAAAAAGAAGATAAAAAAGATGAACAGTGAAAGAACAGCAAACTCACAGTTACTAAGAACCACACCTAAAACAAAAACAAACTAAGAGGGACAGCTAGATCAGGAGCAGAACCATAGATGAAGATTATATGGAGGGTTAGCAACAGGGGAGTGGGAGGAGGAGAAGGGGCGAGAAGGTACAGAAAATAAGTAGCATAGATGGTAGGTAGAAAATAGGTAGGGGAAGGGCAAGAACAGTATGGGAAATATAGAATCTAAAGAACTTGAGACACGTGGGCATAAACTAAAGGGGGGAAATGGTGGGGGAGGGGTGGGCAGGGTGGAGGGGACTGAAGGGGGAAATAGAACTGCAATGACATAATCAATAAAATATATTAAAATTAAAGAATAAATAAATAAAATAATGAAGCTTAGATTTCTAAACTTGATTTAAAAATACATAAAATTCACACACTCCTAGGATGATGCAACACCAGCCACATCAAAAATAAAATAAATAATAGGTCAGTTTTCTCATAAAAGTAGAAAATGTTATGGAACTGCTTCACAGAATGGACTTTTTCACGGGAACACCCAAACACATCGTCACTAGGATGATTCTGAATTATTTTTGGCCTAGTTTTCTGTAACATTTAAAAAGTTGTAAAACGTGTTTGTTTTTTTTGAAGCAGTTGTCACAGTGGGAAACGCACCAGGAAATTATGGACCAGTGATGTCAGGCACTGATGCAGGTGCCCAAGTGAATGTGCACAAAGGGAACCAGGATGAGAAGCGAATGTGCAATTACTGAGTGTCATTTAATCCAAGGTCAATGTTGGGCTTCACTCTGAGAAATATGTAGTATTATACACCATAATAGTACAACGATAGAAAATATACATACTGCCTCCCTTTGTCATGAAAACCATGTGACAAATTCAACAGCAAATTCATGCAAGCCATATGTATGTATATGTTTTACATATCAGATAAATGTGTGATATATGACTTTAGACACCTGGTGCTGGTGCAGAAGTGACAGCAGAGATCTCCCCAGTGAGTGACCTGCCAGCAATGCTACCTAGTCCTGGAAACAGTCAGCAGCAGGGGAGCAATGGACAGAACTAGAGGAGGGGGGGAGATCATTGGCTCGTGTGCCGGGGGTGAAGAGAACCCTCTGAGCTCTGAGCCAGGCCCTCAGGTCTGAAGTGACAACCTGCCTCCCATTCAGGCTGAGTCCTCAGGAATACAAATCATCCCACGGTGGGGTTTTCTGTCCCAGAGCCAGGATAAGCCCCTTGCAGAGATCTCCGGTGCAGAAAGCGGTGACTGTCTGACCAGTCCACGGAGACAGACAGCCGGGAGTCAGGTGTCACAGCACCTGGTCTGTGTGAAACTGAGAAGTCAGGTCCTCTGGAGCCCCAGGAGCTCCTTTCTGTAAATTGTGACTAAGGCTCTCTACATAAGCACTGAGAGAGGAAGGCTCCGGGACACGATGGTGACACCTCAGAGCTCTGTCTCCTGTGGTTCTGTGGGGGGATTCAGCCCATGGATGAGTCATAATCCTGCAAGCTCACTTCCTCCTTGGAAATGCTTTCTGGCTCCTTGTTGTCTACAATCTCCAACCTGCCCCGGATTTGGCCTAAGACTCCACAGTGGAAGAGGAGGAGAGGGCCCACATTTGAAGCACTCAGGTGTGAGAGCTAGGCCCAGGAACTCATGGAGTAATGGGGGTCTCAGAGAGGGAGGAGGGTCACACATGAGTGAGGACAGTTTGCCCAACTCCTCCAGACCCGGTGAGTGAGTGCTTTGTCAGGTGTCTGGCTGAGCACCCACACTGCCACAAGGTGTGCAGCTGCTCCCCCTGCTGGTCACAGGAGGCTCCTCCTCCTCCAGCCACTGGGTTGACCCTACTCACACCACACAGACTGGGCTTTTTACACTGGTCTTTAATGACGTTACTCCCAATAGGTGAGAGAGGACCTTTCTAAGTCTCCATGGGAACAGTAATGCACTCACAATTGAACATTCATCTCCATGGAAAACTGTATTTTTTCAAAACATCCGTTTTCTCCCACTGCACCCGAACGGCTCCAACCTTCTTTGCTGTGCCAGACACTGAACATCCATGTAAAAGGACAGGTGGCAGGTGCAACTGGAGCACATGGGATGACATTTCCCCATGTACACGTTGCGCTGTTCATGGCGTGGGCGGGCCCAAGAAGCCTGTTCAGAACCTTGTGCAGGTGGCTCAGGCGACTGGAGCTCTGTCCCATCCACCAAAAGGCTGTGGCTTCGATCCCCTGTCTGGGTACTTACAAGAGGCAGCCAGTCAATGTTACCTCTCACATCAGTGTTTCTCTCTTTCTCTCCCCTTCTAAAATCAACAAACAACACTCTGGGATGGATATTTAATAAAAGATGGAGTGAAGTTGGACCTTTAGGATAAGGCAGGTGACCACCAGGGCAGAGTGGGAAAGCGCCCTTGAGTCAGAGGGCGGAGCAGGTGCCCAGGCCAGAAAAGGGGAGGCTGCTTGCTGACCACCCCGGGAAATGACCACTGCGGGTCAGAGAGGTGGACCCTCTGAGCTTGTGTATCCGGTGACTCCAAATAAAGTTTAAAATCTGAGAAAATACCTATTTCCTTACTTAAACATTGAAACCCATTTTTACCACTTGTTAATTTATGTGAGTATTTGATCATGTAGCCACAACTATATTTACCATTATGTTGCCTATATAAGTTGGCTAACTGTGCAGTATACTTTCTTTTTACTTACCTTCTTCTTATTAGTCCTGGGCAGTGCACAACACTGTCAACTGGAACTCCACCCTTGTCTTGCCCTGGGGCAGTCAAGTGGTGCTCTCTGAGGTCCCCGCAGGCAGGGTGAGGACAAGGCGCTCAGGGTTTGGGTCTCACTCCCCCTCTGGCCCAGAGCTCTGTGTGACCAGGGAGGCTGCTGTCCCATGCTGAGCGGTAGTGCCCAGCCTCGGCATCCGCCTGGAGCCCAGGCAGAGACACTCTTGTGTCTCCCAGGGCCAGAGAATCTCCAAGAGACCCCGGAGGGCCTGTCACTATTCCTGTGGTCAGGACTTAGGGGATGTGGCTCTGGTGGTGCTCCAGTACCTCAGTCTGGTGGCCACATGATTTTTGTTTCTAAGGCTGGCCAGGGTGGCCATCTGTCCCAGGAATTTGGCCCCTGAGGGTGGTAAGTGAGCCCTGCCTGGCCACAGACACTGTGAGGAGGACAGAGGTGGGGGAGACCAGGATCGCA